AAAAAAGAAAGAAAGAAAGAAAGAAAGAAAGAAAGAAAGAAAGAAAGAAAGAAAGAAAGAAAGAAAGAAAGAAAGAAAGAAGAAACTGCACTCACAGCCAGAGCACTGGGGTGGGTCCACGTTGGGAACATTTGATACTGATCTGCAGCCACACTGAAAAGCCTGTGGAATATGGGAGTAAAGGTTTGTCTTTTCAAGAACTCAGTCTCAGCCTTCCTTGAAGTACCTGGCACCCTCACAAACCTAAATCTTTGCTTGTATAAGTTTTTACACTTTTCTGCTCAGAGAAATGCAGAGGCAGACAGGGGATTTAAATTGGTGTGAGCTGCTGTTCTTTGAATATAAATTAGAAATAAAGATGAATTCTAGAGTTGAGAATTGAAAAAGTGTTTATTCTAAATTTAAACTGAATTGAAATATAGAAAATTCATTGAATAATTTTTATAACAACACTATGAATTATGCACTATTATTATTCCCATTTTTATTTTTATTTATTTAAATATGTTTTTATTGACTTTTTTAGAGAGGATGGGAAACAGAAGCAATGATGTGAGAGAGAAGCATCCAATGGCTGCTTCTTGCACGCCCCCTACTGGGGATCAAGCCTGCAACCCAGGCATGTGCCCTGACCAGGAATCCAATTGAGACCTCTCAGTCCATGGGACGATGCTCAATCTACTGAACCACACCAGCTTGGCATATTATTCCCATTTTTAGATGAATAAACTGAGGTACAAAATGGCTAAGTGATTTGCTCAAGTAAGTAGCAGAGCCAAACTTTGGACCCAGGCAGTGTGGCTCCAGTGCACATGCTCTTAACCATTACACATTCTTGTTTTGCTCTTTCCTATTCAGCTCAGAGGACAGGCTTCCTTCTTGTGACCCTATAGCAAGAGGTTGTTATTTTAGTATATAAATATTATTTCTAAGATCAAGTATGTTGGAATTTACTTCTCATTTTGATTAAGAATCTCTTGATTCTTTGAATGCCTTCCCACCACTTCTGTGTACAACTGCACACACTCTCAAAGAATTAAAATATGTTTCATCTTGATTTAGTAAGTGGAAATTGTTGCTGTCTTTAGAGCTGTTGTGTCTTATAAGTGCCTTGTAATCTTAATTACAAGTAAGATCATGGGAAATGCACTCAGTTCTTAGGGAAAGACTTGCCATTTTACCTTTGGAAAAATGGGAAGGTACTTGTCAGTGACCTGACCTAGAAATTCTGCACTTGAGTTCTCCAGATCACATGATTCTCTTAGAATCATAAGAGATTTGGTATTCATCTGAATGTTGGTATTTTCAACTTTGTGGAAAATTCTTTTTTCTTCATTAACTCCCCCAATTCTGCCCAGGAGAAGGCTGGGCCCTAGGAAGTAGGGATTTGAGAATTTAAATATCAGGTTGTACTCAGTCGATGCTTGCTGGTGGATTGATTGTTGGAATCTGCTTCAGAACTTTTGGAACCTCAAGTGCAAAAGAGATTGTGCTTCAGATTCCCGGGTTAAATTCAATCTCCTGAATTTAGAAAATCTAGTTTCCTAGACAAAATCCACATTGTGTGGTCTCCAAAAAGTTTCTATTACCTGCAGGATAAAAGAATCAAGGTCCCTAGGGAAGGTAATAGATACTTATTTCATGTTTTGGCTTTCATTACAGATGGAAACAGCAGCAATGCAACCTTGGACCAACTGAGCATTTAATTTAACTTCACTTGATTGGGGTGGCATTTTGTTTCTCAGTCAAATTCAGTTGCTATTCGCAGGGAGGTAGTTATTATGATTAAATATACTCTCATTCCAACAGAGTATTAGGGGGATTTTTTAATATTTATGTGACGATAATTGGTCTCTTACCACTGTCAACTACTGCTAAAGGCTTATCAGCTTGCTGTTTCAGCACCATATGTTGTAGCCAAGATGTGCTCCATGTGTCCTTCCTGTGCTTTAGGGAGATGATATTTGAATTTGATCAGAATAGAAAATGGTATGGGCTTCAGAAAAGCTCCTTGCCCTCAGATTGCTCCTTGATGACTAGGTATGTAAGTTATGACTATAAAGTATCAAGATTACCTCCCAAAACCACTTGTGAAATGAAGCCTTTGTCCTAGGTATTGACCAACAAGGGGGTGACCCAATTAAAGGGGACTCCTTGTAAATTCACCTAGTATTGCATATAAATGATTTAAAATAGGCCATTCTGTGAAATCTGAAAACCTGCCTACAATTAAAATACTAACATCTATACCATTTTTTTTCTTAATGAACCATGTGATGATTTTGCTTGTCTTACTTTGGCAATAACAAAGTTTAGCACACACATACCACATACATTTTCCAGGAACCTAAGGAGTGAGCTTTAAAAAGTTTTTATTTGAGCCAGATTTTCATTGGGAATGTATTTATGAGCATGAGTAACCTACTCAGGAAAATATAGTTTAACTGTTTGAAGCTGTGAGAGTCTCTTTAGGTAAACTGCATCTGAGAATCACATTGAGGGTCAAGGAACTTGAAACGTTAATGTAAGCATCCCATAGTCACATGCACAGGGTACTTACTGGCCCAGCAGCTCTTTCTTCTCATTGAGCTGGGATTCCCATGAATCTTGGATTTTTGTGACTGGAGGGTCACAGTTCCAGTGGATGGAGTTAAATAAGGCATGTGTTACATGCCCAATAATTTTATATAAGAAGCTTCCTGACATGATTAGGCTTACATAACTGACATTCACAAGTCTTTTCCCTGAAGTCAGTGTGCCATTTTTTTTTTTTTTTTGGGGGGGGGGGTGGTGGAGAATCTTCTTTTTTTGTTTGTTCATTTGTTTGCTTGCATTTTTGACAGGTAGAGATGAGGATGTTTTTCAAGCTATTTGAAACAGATTTGAAGAGGAACATAGTCATTTAACCCTTCCTCAAAGATACTGATGAGGGCCTGAGAGAAACTTAGGCTGTTAAAACCTTTAATTCCAGAAATAGATTGAAAGTAGTCACCATGGGCCCTGAGTTAACGATGTCTGTGCATTTCTTAGATAACTTTTCAAATATGTGAAAAATCCAATACACAGTTCTAATGTCACAGTTGAAGTGAATTATTTTCAGGAATTCCTCTGGATATTCTGTTTTCCCTCTTCTTCTTTTTCTTGATGTAATACGCTTTTTTTTTAATGAAAGGAAATGAACCTCTAAGTAAATAATTAATCATTATGCTTTATTCTTTTTTAATTTTTTTTTTATCCTCACCCGAGGACACTTTTTCATTCTTTGTTCAGATAGAGCAGGAGGGAGAGAGAGAGAGAGAGAAACATCGATGTGAAAGGGACACATCGAGTGGCTGCCACCCGCACGACCAACCAGGGCCGGGGACAAACTGCAACCGAGGTACGTGCCCTTAGCGGGAACCGAACCCGGGTTTCTCCGGACCACAGGCCGACGCTCTAACCGCTGAGCCAAACCGGCCAGGGCTTATTCTTTTTTTATTAATGTATTTTTGTTATAGATGTTTCTCCTTTTTTCCCCATTGACACTCTCCTCCCATCCCTCCTCCCCACCCCAAGCTTTGTTGTCCGTGTCCATCGGTTATGCATACATGCATATAAGTTCTGTGGTTTATCTCTTCCCTCCTCCCCACCCCTTCTTCTGAGGGTTGTCAGTCTATACTCTACTTCCACCTCTCTGAATCTGCCCTGTTCCTCAGACTGTTATGTTCATTATATTCCACAAATAAGTGAGGTCATGTGATATTTGTCTTTTTCTGCTTGGCTTGGTTTGCTTAGGATAATACTCTCCAGATCCCTCCATGTCGTCTCAAAGGATAAGAGATCTTTCTTTCTTACAGCTGCATAGTACTCCATTGTGTATATTCATATGCTTTATTCTTTTTTCTAAGCATTTTACTACCCATAATCTGACCTGGTCCTCATAACACTTCTGTAATTGAAATCGATCATTGCTTTGCCTGAATGAGAAAATTCAGTGCCATTTGGGCTGATGCCTAGACTTTGAGGTGTTGTTATTTCCAATTAGCAAACATTAATAACTTGAATCTGGTGCCACATTAATATATTATCCCACTTGTCACTCATTTTCAACCCATCCCTAACTACTTTCTGTCTTCTAACTATGCAGTTAGGCTTACTAATTATCTGGGAAAATTTGTGAAGAAATTGTTCCTGCTATGTGTCCTTTGTCCAGAAAAATGAAAACCCAGAAAAAATTGTGTTTATAATTCCATTCACAGAGTAATCCCAAAGAAGGTCATGACCCAGGTTTAGAACCTCTCAACTAGGCAGTGGTGATCTGTTCCTTTTGAGATTATCATCTGTCAAAGTGGATCTCTTATGAAGGTGATGACCTAAACTAGGGGCTAGCATTCTTTCTTCTGTAATGGGCCAGATAGCATTTTAGGCTTTACAAGCCATAGGGTCTCTGTTGTAGTTACTCAGCTATACATTAACAACACAAAAATAGTCACAGATAATACATAAATGAATGATCATGACTGTATTCTAATAAAACTTTATTTATGCACACACCGAAATTTATATATTTTATGTGCTATGAAACATTCTTCTTTTGATCTTTCGCTAACCATTTAAAAATGTAAAAATCATTGCTTGTGGGTTGTAGGAAAACAGGTGGCCAGCTGAATTTGGCACATGGGCCATAGTTTGCCAACCCATGCCACTGACAAGCAGTTTTCAGCTCTGGCTGCACATCAGGATCACTCAGGGAACCCTTAGGAAATACTTATTTTGGGCTCTGTCTCTTGTGATTCTGATTCAGTTTGTCTAGGGTTGTGTTTGGACATCAGTTCTTTTTAAAAGCTCCACAGGTGATTCTACTATGCAGCTGTGGTTGAAAAAAACTGTTGGTCTTGAGTTGTGTTTTCTAACCCCAGATTTAGCCCAAATCATGAACCTGTGCATTCTTCTTAAGGGTCTTACCATACACTACAGTAGAAAGCTGATATCCAAAACAAGTTCCTGAATCTTTTTTTTAAATTGTAGAGTACAAATGCAGTTCCTATATCACAAATTATACAAACAATTTTTCCACATTTGGGTAAATTGTAGAGGTCAACAGACTTGGAATGCAACGAATGAGACTTGCTCTGGGAAAATCACTTTTGTGATGGTCGCATTTCCCCTGCCAGGTAATTTCCGAATCATTTAAAAATAGTGCCTGACTTACTCTGCTTCAAAAAGCAGATGGTATAATTTATGCAGATAAAAAAAATAAAGAATAAAACAAAATATTTATTTCCACACAGCCAGTGTTTCTCAGTGGTTGAGCATTGACCCAAGCACCAAGAGGTCGCTGGTTTGATTTGATTCCCAGTCAGGACACACGCCCAAGTTGTGGGCCTGATCCCCAGCAGGGCTACATGCAGGAGGCGGCCAGTCGATGTTCTCTCTCATTGATGTTTCCATCTCTTTCTTTCTTTCCCTTCTTCTCTCTCTAAAATCAATAAAGAAAAAATATTTTAAAAATATTTATTTCCTATGGGTACATTTCTGTGTATATAAATGCATAGAATGAGTTCTGGAAAGCTGCACACGAAACAGATAATTCAGGTTACTCCTGGGAATGGGATTAAAACTACAGGGGTGAAGATGGAGTAAAAAAAGACTTTTGATTTCAGCTTACCTTGGTTCAATTCTGTCTTAGCCAGTTGCTAGCTATATGACCTTAGGCAAATGATTTACTTCTCTCTGCCTCAGTCTTCTCAACAGCAAAATGAGGACAATAGCAATACGTAGGACAACATCAATACCTTGTGCTTGGGTATATCATGGGATGTATCTAAAATTTAGTGAATTAGATATATGTAAACAAATTAAGAGCCATATCTGGCATTTAGTAAATGCTTAAAAATGTTAGTCACTACAAAAATTTTTTTGGCAGAAGCATGGATACATGGAACAGACAGACAGCTGTCAGAGGGAAGGGGGCTTGGGGAGCTGGATGAAAGAATGTGAAAGAATTAAACAAACATGTTAAATATACACACACACACACACACACACACACACACATATATATCACATAGACACAGATACAGTGTGGTGATAGCAAGAGGGAAATGAGGGTGGGGATAGGTAGAGGTGGGCAAAGTGGGGATAAATAGGGAAAGAAAAAAACTGCTTTGGGCAATAGGTGAACAATGCAGATGATATTTTGTTGAGTTGTACATTGGAAATCTCTATGGTGTTGTGAACCAATGTCACCCCAATAAATTCAATAAAAAAAAGAAAAACATTTTTGGAAAATATAAAGTATTATATTTGGTGGTGATCAAATTATTTTCTGCCTCCATACTATTTTAGTAGGTAATTAGACTCTTTGAACACAATGATTATTACGCAGTAGGAGTACTCACTCTCTCAGGAGGTATATCAGATTCCTTGTAGGGGAATCTATGGCTTGGAAGCAAGCCTGTAGGAACTGTAATATGCATTCCCAGTGGGCACAACCCTCAATATATATGAATGAAATTATGCTTTCCTTCATCATCAAATATAAATCAACCCATTCTCACAGAGATAGTTCAGGGTTAGGTTTCCAGGAAACAGGAATAAACTGATTTAACTATGGGACTTTATACAACTAAAAATCCCCACAACTAACAGCATCTTACTGCCTACAAATACAGAGATTAAATGTATGCAATCAAAAGGAATATTGAACCACAGCACCTCTTGTTACCTAAAATGGGTAGTTGAGAATACATTGAATCCCCAATTCTCAGCACTGTGAATGATTTGGTACCTGACAGGGATAATTTAAATAATGAAAAATGAATAATCTGAATATCTTTGACCTTTTCATAGACAACATATTTGCTTTCTAAATTATGACCCAATTAAATAAATATTAATATGAGTTTGTAATTTTTACTGGTGTGAGAAATTGGGAATATATTTGGTACTAATAAGAAATAGTTATGAGAGAAAAAATGGTTTTAAATGACCTATCAAACATATAATTAAAATGGTCTATATAAGAATGTGGTGAAATAAGAGGAGGTATAGAATTGTCAGTCTGACCAATCAAGGTGGTAGCTTTACCAGAGAATTCAGAAGAATTAATGAGGTTATGTGTTTTTTTGAAATAATATTTGCCTGAGTATCAGAAGATCTGACTTTGGGTCCCTTCTATAACTGACTTTGGATTCATTAGTTAAATTCTTTGGGCCTCATTTTTCTCCTCCATGATTTGACAAGACTGGACTTGGTGAGTTCAAATGTCCCTTTGGCTTAAATATTCTATTAATTATTAATGGCATTATGCAATGAATTTCTGCCTGGGACCTTACTCTGAAGCAACCATCTATGGTATGTGAGGGAGAAACAAAGCTCTCTGAAGAATCCTCACTCATTTGTAGAACCAAATTAAACTTTGAGATGTCAGTTTTCATTGAAATGTCATCTCTAGACTGACTGCTTTTTATAAAACAAACAAAGGACTTTTGATTCATCTCTGCATTAGTCAGAGATGGTAAGCCTTGGGAATATTTTCTCATATGACAGTACATTGGGCTTTTTTATTTGGAATTAACTTCAAAGAGCAGCTCTATCAGCTGTGGTGGAAAATGTACATGAAGATGACTGAGGTGTTTGCAATAATTCTGTATGCTAGTAAAAGCATCTCCAGATAAACCACACCCTACCACCCTTCTTTACTTTCTTTGAACCTCCTGCTGTGCTGTTATGAAGGAAAAACCCTGGTTTGATTCTGACTGCTTCGTTCTGGGCAGTAATGACTGAGAGAAACCATGGAGCCACTCTGGTTGAGCAGAATTCCTTCTTTACACTCTACCTTGTCAGTCTGCTTTCTGGTCCAAAGATTCTTAGTTATGGTGGTGGGTTTCTTTAGCTACAATGGGGACATGTAGCTGTGGCTTTGTACTGATATTCGGTAACTTTTCTCATTGAGGGCTTTGTTATTCTTACTCAGGATAAATCTGAACCAGCTAGAGGCAGGGGTTTGCTTTTCTTTGCTTTAGTAAAATCTTTTATTCTTAAAAACAATCTAAGTAATAATTTGAACTGCAAAAGGAAAGTTAATGAGTAAGTCAGCATAATAGCAACCACAAGTTTTATGGAGAACAAAAGTAACTATCCCTTTACTTTATGGAGCATTTTTTTTAATCCTCACCCAAGGATATGTTTTTTAATTAATTAATTTTTGTTACAGATATTTCTCCTTTTTCCTTTATTGACACCCTTCTCCCCACCCTGTACACCCCCGCCTTCACAGTATTGGTATCTATGTACATTGGTTATGCATATATGCATATAAGTTCTTTGGTTTATTTCTTCCCACCCTCCCACCCTTCTTCTCTCTGAGGTTTCTTACTCTGTTCCCTACTTCCATGACTCTGGGTCTATTTTGTTTATCAGCATATTTTGTTTATTATATTTCACAAATAAGTGAGATCATGTGATATTGCTTGTTTCTCTTAAGATAATACTCTCCAAGTATCTCCATGTCGTGTCAAAGGATAAGAGTTCTTTCTTTCTTACAGCTGCATAGTATTCCATTGTGTATATGTACCACAGCTTTTTTATCCACTCATCTACTGATGGACATTTGAGCTGTTTCTAGATCTTAGCTATTGTAATAGTGCTGCTATGAACATAGGGGAACATATATTTTTCTGATTGTTGTTTCAGGCTTCTTAGGGTATATTCCTAGAAATGGGATCACTGGATCAAATGGCAATTCTGTTTTTAATTTTTTGAGGAAAATGTATTGTTTTCCATAGTGGCTACACCAGTTGGCATTTCTACCAGCAGTGTACTAGAGTCCCCTTTTCTCTACCTCCTCTCCAGCATTTGTTTTTGACGATTTGACAGGTACCATTCTGGCAGATGTGAGGTGACACCTCATAGTCACTTTGATTTGCATCTCTCTGATGATTAGTGACATTGAGCATTTTTTATATGTCTCTGGGTAATTTATATGTCCTATTTGAAGAGGTCTCTATTCAGGTCTTCTGCCCATTTTTTAAATTGTATTCTTTGCCTTCATTTTGTTGAGTTGTGTGAGTACTCTATGTATTTTGGAAATTAAGCCCTTATCTGATCTATCATTGGGAATTATGTTCTCCCATACAGTGGGTTCCTTTTTCATTTTGATGCTTGTTTCTTTTGCTGTGCATAAGATTTTTTTGTTTGATGTAGTCCAATTTATGAATTTTTCCTTTGTTTTTCTTGCCCTAGGTGATGTATCAGTGAAAATTCTGCTATGTGTAATATCTGAAATTTTGCTGCCGGTGTTTTCTTCTAGGATTTTTATGGTTTCACAAGTGACATTTAAGCCTTGTATCCATTTTTGGTTTATTCTTGTGTATGGTGTAAATTGGTGGTCTAGTTTAATTAATTTATTTTTTCCATCTAAATGTCCAATTTACCCAGCACCATTTATTGAAGAGACTATCTTTACTCCATTGTGTACTCTTGCCACTTTTGTCAAATATTAGTTGAGCATAATGTGTTGGGTGGATTTCTGGGTTCTGTGTTCTGTTCCCTTGATCTATATGCCTGTTCTTGTGCCAGTACCAGACTGTTTTGATTATGGTGGCTTTGTAGTGTAACCTGATATCCAGCATTGTGATCACTCCCACTTTGTTGTTCTTTTTCAAGATTGCTGTAGCTATTTGGGTCTTCTTTGGTACATATAAACTTTTGAAGTATTTGTTCTAGACCTGTGAAATATGCCATTGTTACTTTAATAGGAATTGCATTGAATCTGTAGATGTCTTTGAGTATTAAGGACATTTTAATTATGTCAATTCTTCCAATCCATGAACATTGTATATACTTCCACTTTTTAATATTTTCCTCTTTTTCTTTTGTCAATGTCCTGTAGTTTTCTGAGAACACACACATACACTCACACAAAGAATAATGCTAGAAGGCCTGAGACTTAACAAATTTAAAGAGAGAATGGAAAAAAATGTATATGAAAGTGAAGAAAGCAAGGTAATAGCAGACCAAATCAGAGAGCACCTTGAACAAATATCAGTATCAACAGTGGTAGAAGCACCCGCCTCAGTGAAAAGCTTAAATGGCAAACAAACAACCAGAATACACACACACACACACACAGAATACTAGAAAGCATGAGGCCAAAAGGGTTAGGAGACAAGAAAAAAC